ATAATATCATTGATGCTTCACTTCCTCGGCAATCTAATTTAGATATTCAACAAACATTTACAAATATAAATTATGGACAAACGGCTTGTGTCATAGACTATTTCAACGACATTGGTCTTAATGCCATATGTCATGTTTACTCGCTTCCATTCACATTTACTCGGCTGGAAAAGATTACGAATGGTTTTCCAACTATTTTATTTGATACTGTAACTCATTTGTCTGTGTACGATACGATTCCAATGAAACATGAATTCTTTATGCAAATTAGTCGAACCTTTCCATTGCTTAAATATTTCTCTATACAGAATCAAGCGTTCCAGAGATTGAATGATGATGATAAATGGAAATCTGATGAAAATTCATCTTATTCAGTTATTGAATATTCTCATCTTACATCACTTGATATGACAATGGCGGATTTTGGTTATATTGAACAATTTTTACTTGAAACAAAGACATATTTACCTTGTCTAACTCAGTTAGAAGTCCATTATGATTTATTGAGTTTTGTAACAAAGAACTTCACAAGAGATGAAACACGACGCAATTGTTCTAAAGTGAAACGATTGTTAATGATAAGCGAACCGATAGAATTTTCTACAAAACATGTTCATAAATATTTTCCTTCATTGTAAATTCAATTCTATGTTGTTCGCTTCAATAAAAATAAATGTAAAAAAATTCTTATATTATTATAACGAAATAAAAAAAAAGAGTAAGAAATAATAATTGTTTATGATCGAATATTGAGTTATAAACAGATATTTCTATTGAAAAATTGTTTATATTATATTACTGTTTTGTACTTATAAGTGAAACTATGTGGCTCAATGACAATTTCTGAGAGAAAAATTTTCAAGAGAAAACAATTACAATAGTTCTGTATGAATTATTTAAATTTAGCACTAGCTTGTATAGAATGAGACCTGTTTTATCTGATATTTTTTTTTGTAAATTGTGTCGTTCTTATCTAGCATATATTTCTGCTAAAAGATGTCGAATCGAAAGCAATTTTAATTGCATCATTATGTTTATTTTTTCTTTTTCATGATCTTTAATCGAAAGTTGTAATATTGAATAATTTTATTCATCTTCTGTTTGTACAAAATATATGAATTTAGCACACAGATATTTATTTTGAGAAAATTCTCATAGATTGTTGGTAGATCTTCTTTGAAATATAGGCAAATGATATATTTCTGAGAGTAGTATTTTATGAATCTCTGACATATTTTAAAGAGATTAGGTTTAAAGATCATATAATTGTTTGAAAAGATTTCCTTCAAGTTTAATTGTAATGGTTTTAATTGAATTAGTGCTGATTTTTTTTTGAAAAATTTCAAATGTGGAAATGCTAAAAGTATAGAACTTAAGAGACAGTCGTAACGTCGACTATCTCAGTTTCGGTTCATTTGGTTCCAAAAAAACACGAACTGATCCCATCTCTGCTAGATATTCTGCAAAACGCGGCCTAAGAAACCTTTGTTCGAACCGCTTACCATTAAAAAACTAGCGTTATTGACGTGATATATTCAGATAATTTGAGTAACAACAAAAAAAACTTTATTTACTGACAGAACACAACTTACAAGCCGTTAGATATTAATTCATCAAGCATATTCAAAATGCATCATTAGCTCTGTTTATACTTTTAAAATCCAAATCTATAAAATATATTTGTAAAAAAGTAGAAGTCGATAAATTAAATTTTACAATAAATGCGTTTATGACACAACTGAAATCGAGATGTCGTTAGTTGAGATGACAAATGGTATTTTATATTTTGATTGGTTCTTTCTACCTACAATTAAATGTTTAATCAATCGATGATAATTTTCAATGAGTGAATGAAAAAGTGGTCTCGTACTAACCGTATGGTTTTTATTTTCATTACAAATCACAAATTATTCAATATCATCATTAACATGACAAATAATAATAAATAGTACTAAAAAAGAATATGACATTTTTTTTTTCGCTTCAAAATACATTAAGATTTTTAAATTCTTGTTTAACAATATCCATCTGAAATTAAGGGTGTATTATTTATTTTTCCAATTAAACGTTGTATAAAGGCCTAAATATATTTATTTGATTTAATATTATGTTGTGATGATGATTATGTTTGAAAAATAATTGATAAATAATTGATAAATATTTAGGCATTAATTAATTATGTAATATTTGTTCATCAAGTGTTAACATCATTTCAATTCGACGACAAACAATTAATTCAATTAAACGTAATGCAGTTATATATGGTAATGTAACAAATTGTTCAATGAATAAAATTAATAAAAGAACACTTTTATCTAAATATATTCCTTCAAGTGTACGAAAAATTTTTAATGATAATAATTATTTATTTCGTTTTAATAAATTTTTCCCAATTTGTATATATTGATTCAACAATAAATGATGTACATATGTACATGTATCACTTACGAGGAAACCTCCCGAGGTGTCAAAAAGCTTTTGAGCCCAAATTTTGTCCATAAGTAGAGAATATATAGATTAGAAAAAGTCTAAGAGGATATAGGCCCAAGTTGAGATTTGGCTGAGATATCGGCTTTTTACTATAGTTTTTCTATCCGGACCGCATTTTTCCCATTAAATCAAAGTTTCGAGTTTTGACGTGAAACGTTGCCCATATCAAGACCTCAACTAGAGTAGCTCATCTACAAAGTTTCAGAATTTTCGGACTAAGCATTCTCGAGATATGAGTCTGTTAGCATAAATACAGTTTTTTACGGATATTTTTATATGCATGGATATTTTGAAAACGTTATATCTCGGGAATGCTTAGTCCGAAAATTCTGAAACTTTGTAGATGAGCTACTCTAGTTGAGGTCTTGATATGGGCAAAGTTTCACGTCAAAACTCGAAACTTTGATTTAATGGGAAAAATGGGGATCCCATAGGAAAACTATAGTAAAAGGCCGATATCTCAGCCAAATCTCAACTTGGGCACGTATCTTCTTAGACTTTTTCTAGTCTATATATTCTCTATTTATGGACAAAATTTGGGCTCAAAAGCTTTTTGACACCTCGGGAGGTTCCCTCGTTAGTCCAAATAATAAATATTATTAAATGACGATGTTTTATTATTAATGTTAAATGTTCAACATATAACTCATGATGACAAATAAGATCGCAATATGATTATAATTGTCCATTGATAGATAAATGTGTTATTAATGATTCAGGTGTACTAATTGATAACCATTGATGACCATGAGGCTTCTTGAGTATAATCAAGAATGTTAAGAATATGTGTCCATTGAAGTAATAATGGAATATAAAATGAATATGTGAAGTTTGAAATATTTACTTAAGATAGTTAAATATGAAAATGAATCAAGACGATGAACTTTTTCATCGTTATTATCGTTAATTAATAATTGACGAAAATCATTTACAATTGTTTGAAATTGTTTAGATAAAATATAATAATATGAAAATTTTGAAAATAGTTAACGAGTAAATAGTAGATCTCAAAGATAAGATTATAGAAGTTCCCTAGAACAATGTTCGCCTTAATAAACAACAATCTATGGGTAGAATTTTATCACTAAAATCTTATTTATTCAACCTATATGCTTATTTTCTCTCCGTTGCAAACATCTTCTATGATATTCTTTATTTTCTTTGAACAACTCTTTACTATCTTCAACGATATACATAAGTAAATAGAGATAATTCGATGTAAGAGAAACCAATGTCATTGTCGAGTAACGTAATATAACATCATGCAAAAATACGAAGAAGTGCTCTAAAAGACAAAAAAACTAAAAAAATCGAATAATAATTTTCTATAATTCTAATAAATCATTTTTGATAGTTACACACTAATGTTTAATTAAATTTTGTACTTGAATAACTTGTTTAGAATGAAGTGTATCATGTGATAACATAATAAGAAATTCACCAACACCACAAAATAAAATGTGATTAAACATCAAAATCTGATATAACTTCTTCAAGCATTTCAAGTTGATTGGTTATTTATATGAACAAGAAAATGATATTGAAATAAAAAAAAAAGGGATACAATCAAAATATGAAAATAATTTAAAAAACAAACTTCATCAGCATCTAATAAACTATAATTAACTCGGAAATAAAAGTAATTGTACAAGTAAATCGAGTACAGACACTTGAAATTTCATTTCATTTGAATTAGAATATTTTTTTTTAGACTAAGAATAACCATTGATTTAAATAAATGAATATAATTGTCAATTTTTGTACGTTCTGTTCGATTTGGTGAACATTTTTAAATGTTCAATTGTTTTTCGTTGTTTTTTAGTTAAATAAAAATTATACAAAAAAAAAAATTGTTTTTCTTTTATTTCAATCCTCATCTTACTCTCATATTGTACTATTTTCTATTGATTGATCACTATTAATACTTGATATATGACATGATTCGAATAAATGAATCACCGGTCGTCCAATAGTTATTGTATGAATATTAATTAAAGAATGATTTGATGATAATTGTCAAAGAGTATTTCAAGGTTTTGTTTGAAGAGAAGATAGAGAAGTTATTGATAATTAATGAAGATTTTTGTAATAACTAGATAAATGAATTATCTTAGCTAATATTAATATAATCTCTTATATATATTGAATTGTTTTTATTTTATCGATATTAAATGTTGATTTAAGATAATTAAGTGTTTCTTCTAAATGTTTTGAAATATTTTGTATTGAAACAAGATTTAAAACTGATTTAATAGAAATTAATGTTGTTGAAAGTAATTGTCCAAAATGATCTGTTTCAGATGAATTTAATAAACTTTAATGTGTTTGATATGATAAACGTATTAAATGAAATAATTTCATCATTGATGGATTATTTTCAAAAGCACCTAATGATGTTCGATTTACTTTTTTGTTATCTTCATCTGTACTTGTTATAGTTGATGTTATTGTAAAATCTTTACTTAATATTAGTGAACTTGTTACATCAGGATTAATTCAATCTTTTTCATTTTCTTTAAAAAATAACATTAAGATTTTTTTTTTTAAAATGATTAAATTGTTGGATTACTTGAATCATTGATACTTTCGAAACGTTTTTTTAATTGTCCAGGTGAAGCAGGAAGTGGTAGAAAAGTTATTTTTGATGTTGGTGGAATTGGAGGAGTAGTATCTTCGATGACACAAGGAAATATAGATAAAATTCTATGAATAAAATGATAAATATTTTAAATGTTTCTTACTTGATTAAAAAATGAAAAACTTTTTCTGCTAATTGAACATCCATTATTTCATTTGTAACATTGGATATATCTGTTATAAAAAGTAAAATAAAAGTTTTTATTGATTATTTTTTCTTTACTTAAAAAGAGTAAATTGATAATATCAAATTATTAAGATTTCATGTCAAATAAATGGATCCTTAAAAAAATCTATAAATAAACGAAGTTTATTATATTGATTATGAAAAAAGTGATCGAATTATTGTTGATGTTAGAATATTTACAAGAGCATAGATACTTTCCAAACATCCAACCTAAAACATTCAATTAAATTAATGAAAAAAAAAACAAACAATTTGTATTCGTGTTGATACTTGAGCTAAACGATAAAAAATTAATATTAATAAACATGATATTGTTTCAAATTGTGTTTCATCATTTGATACTATTGTAGAAGTATTTGATTGTTATAATGAATGATGAATTGTATATATCCATTGACAAAATGATTAACCCATTTAAGTAACGAATGTAATGGACATTGACACGGTAAAAATGAACTTTGATCAACAAATCTAAGAAAATCAAAATTAGTGACTCGCATGATTACAGCTCGTTGGGTTCCAGAATCGACTCACGAGGGAACCGCCCGAGGTGCCCAACGCCGATTCCCATCATTCATA